ATCTGTGCTGATTGGTCAGTACTAAAGGCCAACTGGCAGGAGGAACGGCCTAATGGTGAGCTGATTGGCTAGCACTTTGCAGTGAGCTGATTGTTTTTCGTTTGTTTGTTTTTGTATCTCAGCAGTGAGTTCTTAAGCTCTAGCTTGGGAGGTTTGCAGAAGTTTATTTTCCAATTTGAGTGTATTAGCCCCAGGGGCCGGAAGTTTGCTACATTGTTCCCAGAGGACCCCACCCTGTCTGCGTGCCTTGCTTTTTCTATCTCTTGTCTCAATAGTACAAGCAATTCAGCAATTCTTGTCTATTTTTCCTGAACATTCACCAAATCAGTGTTTTACTGTATTTGCTTACTGTTGTACACACACACCCTTACTTATATGCTAAACTGTGTTTAAGTATACATTATATATATGAGGGGGGACCCAAAACAGCCTGGAGTTATCTTTTGGAGGGCGGACCCCTAGAAGAACAGGCTTCCCCCACTAGATAAGTATTCTAGGAAACAATCGAGGTCAGTGTACCAGTTAGGAGTGTTGTGAGAGGCTGCTGTTTGGCGTCAATCATTTTTTTCTTTTTTTGTAATTTCAATGCATTTGCTCATTTCTTGATGGGCAATTTATGAGAGCATCTGCCCTCAGCACACTGAGTGTTTAGCAGCTTTGAAACCAAAATGGCATGGCCCTCATACCCTGCCTCCCTGTTCACCAAATCTCACCCTGAGAGACTTTTTTTTGTCTCGCAGATGTAAAAAACATCATCAGAGGGAAACGTTTTGCTGATATGGAAGAGATGAAACTGAAAACAGCAGAAGCACTAACAGGCATCCAAATTGATGAGCTCAAAAACGGTTTTGAGCAGTGAAAAAACCGTCTCAATAAATGCATGGCGTCAAATGGAGAGGACTTTGAAGATGACTGAAGTGTAAACATGTAAGAGTAAATATACAATTTTTTGTAAATAAATTCTGGGGTTTTTGAGGTCCCCTCTTATAATATTTGTATATATGTATGTATATAAATGTGTATGTGTGTGTTTTTTCTTTAATATATCGTCTGTTGTTTCTTAATGATTTGGTCTGGATTAATTTTTAACAGGAATACCACACTGGTGGTTCCATGTTTTTCTTGTGCATCCTCTCTGGAGATTCATGATCATACCTGTTTTTTTTAATTAACTGATAAAGTTAATTTTGATCACTAGTTTAAGTTGACTTCCGTTATGTTTTTCATTGTGTTCTCTTTTGTGATTAATTAGATATCTTCTGGTGAAATACTTCGTCAATATGTGGATATCCTGTTTCACATCAGATAATATTTCATTGTGTTCATTTATGATTCCTGCCTGATAGTATTCTTTCTGTGTCTTAGTTCGTTTTGTGCTGCTATAGCAAAGATACATGAGACTGGGTAGTTTATAAAGAACAGAAATTTATTTCTTATGCTTCTAGAAGCTTGGAAGTCCAAGATCTAAGACACCAGCAGATTTTGTTGTCTGACCAGTGGCTGCTGTCTGCTTCCAAGATGGCACCCTCATGCTGTGTCTTTCCTAGGGGAGAAGCATTTTGTCCTTATCTGGTGGAATAGCAGAAAAGAGCTAACCCATTCCTACAAGCCCCTTTAATAGAGGCAGTAAGTTACTCTTATTAGGGCCTACCTTTCAGGACTTGCATTGAGGATTAAGTTTCCAACACATGAATTTTAGGGGCCATGTTCAGACCATAACATTCCAGTAGTTGCCACATAGTGAGATTCTAATTTCATGAGTTTATCTAAATGTATTAGTTGGCATTCTAATATAAGAGTCTTCCATATTCAACTTATTTATTTTGTCATTTTAAAAAATAGTATGAATTTATAGGTTATATCTATCATTGAAAGTAGGGTATTGAAGTATTTTGCTGTTTGTTCTTATTTTTATTTTTTGATTTATTGTATAGATGAGATCTCGCCAAGTTGCCTAGGAAGTATTTTACTATTATTGTTTGCCACTTCTCCCTTCTGAGTTGTTAATGTTTACTTTATATATTTAGGCTTTATATATTTAGGTATTCTGATGTTGAGTGCGTACATACTTACAATTGCTATGTCTTCCAGCTGAATTTATCCTTTTATCATTATGTAATGACTATTGTCTCTTGTGACAGTTTTCAATTTAAAGTCTATTTTGTCTGACTTAAGTATAGTAGCCCAGTTCTCGTTTGGTTACCATTTGCATGAAATATCTTCTTCCATTCCTTCACTTTCAGTTTGTGTATGCCCTTAGATCTAAAGTGAATCCTGGTAGGTAACACATCGTTGGGTCTCTTTTTCTATTCATTCAGCCACTCTGTACCTTTTTATTGGGGAGTCTTATCTCTATATTTTTAGTAATTTTGATAGTAAAGACCTACTACTTAATTATTTTCTGTTTTGTAGTTCTTTTGTTCCTTTTTTTTTCACTAATTACCTTTGAGCTGTGTCTCACCAATCTACTTATTTGGTGAGGCACCTGGCATAATGTTTTTTGGGTTTTTTTTACATAATATAGTTGCTCAATTTAACAGAATTGCACAACTTTTACTTTTTTTTTAGAATTTTATGGTATTTTAAGCAAGTACAATTTTGTTTATTTCTTGGAGAGAAATAAAAGTTCAACTGTTTTGCATCTTAAAGTCAACTGTGTCTACTTTCTCTGGGTAGTAATCACCTATCAGATCTGTTTGTTCCAAATATATTTTCTGTTAGTTTTGTGTCTTTTATATTTTGAGACTTTATTATAAAAGTTTAAAAATTTTCATGTAACCAAATTAATAAATCATTTCTTTCTAAAAATTTAGAAACCAATGATGTCTACTTTTATAATACTTACTTTAACTTATGACATATTTTATTGATTGTATAGTATATTCTAATGATCTAACTTATTGCTGTGGTCACAGTGTATTCATGCAATAATACTATTAAAATATAATACAAGCTTTATGGGGGAGAAGTGTGTCCCTAAATTAGAGTGTTAGGAATAACATATGTTGTTACTTTGAAAATATAACTTTGAAAGCTTAGGAAGATAAATATTGACCTGAAAGAATATTTACCACAGCAGTGAATTAATATATTGAAACAAAAATCCCCTTTCTACCCAAGGGATAGGAATTCACCTATTCCTTTTCTAAAAGTTCATTTTTATGACTTTTTGTTAGAGAGAGAACTGATGTGATAGAATGCAGGAATGGGGAAGAGTTAGGATACTAGGTCAAGTGTCTGAGAAGGTTTATGGAGTTTTATGGATGTTATATGCACTTACTTAGATACTTAATTATATACATAATTATACATATTTATATCAAGTAAATGTATGCATGACATACAAGTGTCTATGCATAACAAAATGCATACTAATATTTTATGTATATATACATATATGTACATATGCACATGTACATGTGTGTACATATATCCATTAATAGACACAATGTATACCTATTATGTATATAGTACACATCCATATATATGCATATAAATTTATACACACCATATTTAATTGAATAAAAATTTGAAGCTGGCAAAATAAAATTAATGTTAGTTAGGTATAAAGAAAAACGTGAGGTAATGGTAAACACAAAAGTAAGTGATGAACCCCAGGCAGGGAGATGGGCAGGACTGGTGATTGTGAAGGGATACAAGAAGTGGAAGGGAGCTTTTAAGTAGGCAATTTTCCTTTTTAATGTTACTTTTTATGTTTTAAACCAGTCATCTGTCTTTTATTTTTTAGATGCAATATATCTCACAATTATACAAGGTTGACCTTGAAAATAATCTCTGTTTTGTTTTTTTTTTTCACTTCTGAAAGAAATATGCTTGGTCATCTTACTATTTGTTAAAATAACAACATTATGTATTATAGAAAGTCATATTTTATAATTCAGTCAATGAGAACATATTGCCAGATACTTTTCTAATAAGACATCTGTGTATAAAAAGACAAATACTTTATTTTTATGATGTATATGTACCTATATACATATACTCATATATGTATGCACCATTAATATATGTCTGTCCACATACAAACAATCACATAATATTATTTTAGAAGTTAAAAGTTACTGTTTATAATCCCTCTTTGGTAAGACTTTCAGAGTTATAACTTAATGCATTTTTTTAAAATTGGGAAACTCTAACTTGTGACTGATTTTTATAATGTTATTCTGAAAACTTTGTCTGATTCCATTCCATTTCAAAATGTTATTTAAAATGTGCAATTATCCCCTGCTTGTGAAATTGCTATTTTAGTTTTAAAAGTTTTTGACAGCCGGGCTCGGTGGCTCAGCCTGTAATCCTGCGCCTTTGGGAGGCTGAGGTGAGTGGATTGCCTGAGCCCGCGGGTTCGAGACCCGCCTGGGCAGCGAGACCTCATCTCTACAATAAATCAAAAAATCAGCCGCGCATGGTAGTGCATGCCTGTAATTCCGGCTACTCGGAAGGCTGAGGCGGAAGGATCGCTGGAGCCCAGCAGGTCGAGGCTGCGGTGGCTGGGAGCAGCCACTGCACTCCAGTCTGGGCGACAGAGTGAGACTCCAAGTCAAAAAAAAAAAAAAAAAAGTTTTTGACTATTAATTTCATGACTAGGCATTTTATGTACTAATAAGTATTTCATTTTATTAACTATGATTTGTAAATTCTACACTTAAATTTAGACAATTTTATTCTCTCTCTATAGAATGTAATACAAAAAAATCTGCTCAAGTGATTTATTTTATGAAATAAAATTTTCAAAAGGCTTATCTGACTAATGTAATTAGCATGCACCTAGTGATATTTCTACATCAATATTGACATTTGCTCTAGCCATATATAGACTAGTTACAGACATCAATATTTTGTGATGTAATTAGTATTATAATGTACTTCATTAATTTTTTTGGTGTAATGAACTTTATAAATTTTAGTTTTCATGTTAATACATTGGAAATATTGTTGATAGTACTTACTAATTATCTTTTTTCAATAAATTGCAGCAAAACGTTTACTATTTTGGCGTTTAAAGTATGTCATCATGGCAAAGATTCGGAGAAGGACTTGCATCATTTTGTCACTTTTTATTCTATTTGTTTTCTCTCTGATGATGGGTTTAAAAATGTTGAGACCAAATACAGCTACTTTTGGAGCTCCTTTTGGACTTGACCTTCTTCCAGAACTTCGTCAACAAACGATTCATTTGGGCAAGAATTTTGATGTCCAAAAGAGTGACAGAATCAACAGTGAAACAAATACCAAGAATTTTAAAAGTGTTGAAATCACTATGAAACCTTCCAAAACTTCTGAACTTAATTTAGAAGAACTGCCACCTCTGAATTATTATTTACATGTATTTTACTACAGCTGGTATGGAAATCCACAATTTGATGGTAAATATATACATTGGAACCACCCAGTGTTGGAACATTGGAACCCTAGAATAGCCAAGAATTTTCCACAAGGAAGGCACAACCCTCCAGATGACATTGGCTCCAGCTTTTATCCTGAGTTGGGAAGTTACAGTTCTCGGGATCCTTCTGTCATAGAAACTCACATGAGACAAATGCGTTCAGCTTCAATTGGTAATTATTTTATGTATGTGTGTATGTATGTATATGTTTTTTGTGTAACATTAACTTGCTAATCATTCCTCACATCATTGTTAATTATTATTAAATACTTATCTTTAAATTAAACTGTATATATGTTCTTAAGCATCCAGGCAACCATCTTTTAACACTGCCTTTGATTTGTGCTGTTTGAGTTCTAAATTTTGGAGTATTTGTGGACATATTATTTTTATTGATTTCTAATTTTACTTTCTTAATTTTATTAAATTATGATTTGCATAAAATGCAGTTCTCTCACTTTAAGTTTATGGCTCAGTGTATTTCTCAAAAGTATGCACCTGTTTGTATAACACCCTAATCAAGAAGTAAAATATTTCTGTAGCCCAAAAAGTTTCATCATGGTTCCTTTATTCAGTGCTACCCTACTACTCCTTTAACTCAGGAAACTATAGATTTGATTTCTGTCACTGTAGAATAGTTGTGAATGTTCTATTACTTTTTGAAAATAGAATTGTCCTACATTTGTGTGTATGTGGGCACTTGTGTTCTTTTACTTAGCACGTTATTTTATAATGTATCCATATTATTAATTATATCAATGGTTTAGTCATTTTTAGTACTGAGTAGTATTTCATTATATGATTATAGTAAATTTGACTGTATTCACATGTTGATGGACATTTGGGCTGTTTGAAATTTTAGTTATGTAGCATATCATTTGGTCTTTTCTGTTTTAAAAAATAATTTTGGCAATCTCTTATTACATAATTTCTATGTTTATTTCATTTTTGTTTAATGTAATAATGTCTTTTAAATCTTTCATTTTGCTATTTTTTTCTCATTTGTTCCATCTGTTCCTTTTTAATCCTCTTTTTCTGCCTTCTCAGGTTGAATATGCTTGTTATTTTATATTTTCTTCTGACTTAATATATTCCTTCATTTAATTTATTTTGTAATATAAATACACACCTTTTACTAATATGCACCTTTAACTTAACTGATGAGAGGTCGTTTTTATTGTTGTTCCAACTTCTTACCTTTCTCTTTTCTCTCCTCTGGGCAACCCAGTTATGCATGTACATAGAGTCATATTGTCCCACAGGTGATTTACATGAAAAAAATACAACTTGGTGCCTGAAAATTCTTCAATTTGTTAATATCTCCCTTGTAAAGCCTTCCTGTTTAGTTTTATTTATCCTGTTAGTGCTCCTAGAAATAGGGCCAGAAGAAGAAATTGGATGTTCTTACATTTTTATTGCTCTACATAGAGGTATGAACTCACTATGGAACTGATATGTATATAAACATGAGCCTCTTTCATGAACAAAACAATGTATAATTCTATGAATTTGTTTGAAATATGTGCAAGATGACTTGTTCTTCTATGGAGTAATTGTTTCTTAAACTATTTATAAAATTTAACTTTCTATTATATACTTAGAGCTCTAGTTTCTATGTTCTGTGTGTACTATGGCATAAAGTAGGCTTGGTAAATTTAGATAACATTGACCTGTGGTAAGTATGCCTGTGTCTATCTGTCTCTGTTTACTAATTTATTTTTGAGAGGATTACTTTTCAAGTGATATTTGTTTCACGTTTGAGTTTTATTATTTCAAGACTGTAAATAAATACTTATAGTAAATGAATATATATAAATGTTATATATAAATAGAATGTTATAGTTTGATTCTGATTGGGAAGAAAAGTTTAAGTTCACATTTTTGTGACTGTCTAATGTTTATAAAAACATTTACCCTTGTACACTATTTTACTATTATATCATTTATATGGATATTAATTATTTCTATACATTGTCACTAAGGCAGTTATTTTTATTTTAAATGTTGAAAAGTTTAATATTGATACAAATATTTTACTTTGTGATGAATTTTCTGCTAGGCAAAGATTTTAATAAGTAACATTTGATAGTAAAAAAAGTAACGGTACAAATTTACTTATTACTTATAGTAAGTAAATAATTTCTTAATCAGTTACATGTTGAATTGTACTCATTATTATTAGGCAGAAAATAATTTTAATTTTAAAATACTGACTGATAACACTATTTTTATCCATGGAGCTGGCATGCTGACTTTGACATTTTTTGAATGGACAAAGATAGTAAATGAAGGCTATTTAAATTGCTGTGTGGTTGAAGATTCTTTGACAACATTTTTAACATTCATATTTTTTCTTTCATATAAATGGTCTTCTTTTTATCTTAAATTGAAATGCTATGTAAAGTAATTATACTGTTATCACAGAGTACAAGTTGGTTGATTTTCTGCTTTTACAATTAGAAGTGGCATGTGCGTAAATCCTAATGGTTCCACTTTTGTTGTTGAAAATAATGATAAAATTAAAATGGAGTATTAATGCTGTGTTTAAATCCAATTATTATATGATTATAATGTGTCAGATACATTATAATATCATATGATATATTTGTATCCTTCTCAAGACTTTTAAGTATCACATAACATATATCCTACCCCTTGTATTGGTATTTCACAATTCTAAAAATACCAGATGAATACCTTTTTATTTTTATAATATAGTTTTCTAAAACCTTAGTGAGATAGTCAGAATAATGACCTCCACAATGTCCATGTCCACATCCTAATCTTCAGAATCTATCAATATGGTATTTTACTTGGCAAAGAGAATTAGGTTTGTAGATGCGAAAGGTTGCGAGTCGAAGGAACTTGAGATGGCATTATCCTTCTTTGAGACTTATCTCGTCACATGAGTTCTTATAAGTAGAAGGAGAAAAGTGAAAAAAGAGAAATGTGATGTAAAAAGGAGTTGACCCACTGTTGCTATCTCTGAACATGGAGTGAAGAATTTATGAGTGAAAGAATGTGGTGGTCTCTACAAGCTTAAATGGTGAGGAAAGAGATTCTTTCCTAAAACCCCCAGAAAGGAATGTAGTTTAGTCCAATACCTTGATCTTAGCCTATTGAGTCCTATGCCATACTTCTGACATACACAGCTGAAAGATAATACATTTATGTTGTTTTAAGCAGTGAAATATGTGATAATTTGTTATGTAAACAATTTAGCAAAACATCACACACTGTATAACTTTAAAATTATCTTCCCTTTCCTTCAATTAGCACTAAATGTTTATTGAGTTTCCACCATGTCCCAACTTTGTGCTAGGTTCTGGGAACTTAAAGATGAGTTAGTATCATTCTCTAGTCTTTCCCTTATTTTTATCATTGGTGCTTCAAAAACACTAGGTGGAAATAAACATTGGAATATTTGCTGAAAATAGAAAATATCCGTTTCAGTAAGGTCATAATTCTGCACCCTTCCCTTTAAAATTTGTACATAAAAGTAGGAGAAGTAGAAGTTACAGTAAGATTAATTATATGTTTAAAGTTTAAATGTACTTACCTGTTAACATCAAACATGATGTCTTCCATTTTTTTTTTTTTTTGAGTTGGAGTCTCACTCAGTCGCCCAGACTGGAGTGCAGCGGCCGCTCCCGGCCACCGCAGCCTCGACCTGCTGGACTCCGGCGCTCCTTCCGCCTCAGCCTTCCGAGTAGCCGGAATTACAGGCATGCGCTACCACGTCCAGCTGATTTTTTGATTTATTGTAGAGATGAGGTCTTGCTGCCCAGGCGGGTCTCAAACCCGCGTGCTCAGGCAATCCACTCACCTCAGCCTCCCAAAGGCGCGCGATTACAGGCTGAGCCACCAAGCCCGGCTCCATTTTTTTAGAATAAGTTTGCATTCACTTTAAAGTTTATGTCTATAATTGTAGAATATTCCATACAGTTTTCATATTGCTATAGACACTCAATATGTGGTTTAATCGATTTCCCCTGGAAAGGAATGTGTATTCTGCTGTTTATTAATGAACCATTTTATAAATGCAAGTTAGTTCAAGTTCTTGATAGTATTATTCAGATCTTCTATATCCTTGCAGATTCTCTGTGTACCTATTCTGTCAATTACTGTTAAAGGCATGTTGAGGAGTCCAAGAAAAATTGTGAATATATCTATCTCTCCTTTCAGGATTGTCAGTTTTTGCTTCATATATTTTGAAGCTCTTTTTTAAGGTACATAAATATTTAGGATTGTTGTGGCTTTTTAGATAATTGAGTATTTTGTTACTATGTAATATTCCTATTTGTTGCTAGTAATGTTCTTTGTTCTGAAGTCTATTTTGACATTAATTTAACTACACCAGTGTTTTTTTAATTAGTGTCAGGTACTATATATCTTTTAGATTTAACCTGTCCATACCTTGGTACTTAAAGTGGCTTTCCTGTACATATCATAAGGTCTTGCTTATTTTTAGTCCAACCTGAAAATGATATTTGTAAATTGGTGTGTTTAGACTATTTGCACTTAATGTGATTAATGATATGGTTGAATAATTGGAATCTACCATCTTGTTAACACCTTCATACATCTACCATTTATTCTTTGTTTTCTTTTTTTCTGTTTTCTTTGGGTTAATTGAATAATTTTTATGATTACACCTAGTTTTCAGTATTTAAACAAATATATAGATGAAATGGTCTATAAGGGCAAGGTTTGCTGCAGTCATAGTTTGCTGAACACTGCTTTTAACAATCAGTTGGCTTTTATAGTTATTAAAATTAGAATTTCTTTTACATTTATTGATGTCATTTTACCATATTTTAGCATAGATTCAAGTGTATGTCTGGAATCCTATTCTTTCTACCTCAAATGTTTATTTTAATGTACCTTGTGATACTGGTCTACTTGCAATGAATTCTTTCAAATTTTGTTTGAATCCTATATTTTAAATGACGTTGCATCTGCTATAGAATTCTCAGTGGACAGGTTTTGAGGTTTCTTTTCATTTGGAATTTTAAAAATATTACTCTGTTCTTTATCTTCTATCTTCCATGGTTTCTGATGAGAAGTCTGGTGTAATTTTTAAAAATATTTTTATAAGCTGGACTCGGTGGCTCAGCCTGTAATCCCGTGCCTTGGGGAGGCTGAGGTGAGTGGATTGCCTGAGCAGCGACACCTCATCTCTACAGTAAATCAAAAAAATCAGTCGGGCGTGGTAGCGCGTGCCTATAATTCCAGCTACTGGGAAGGATCACCGGAGCCCAGCAGGTCGAGGCTGCGGTGGCCGGGAGCGGCCACTGCACTCCAGTCTGGGCGACAGAGTGAGACTCCAACTCAAAAAAAAAAAAAAATAAATAAAAAAATATATATATATATATATATATATATATATATATATATATCTTCATTTTCCTGTATATGTTTCTGCTGCATTCAGTTTTGTTTTTAGCTAAACATGATATGCATAGTTGTTATTTTTCTTGCTGTTTTTTGGCATTTATCCTTCTTAGTGTTTTCTGAGCTTCTCAAAACTGTTGCTTTGTCTTTCATTAATTTTGCAAAGTTCTGAGTGATTATTTCCTTAAATAAAACTTCTACCTCTTTTGGGTTTCCAATTACATGGTGTACTTGAATTTTGACGTTTATCGCACAACTATTGGATGCACTGTTCTGTATTTTTCCCCAGATTTTTTTCTCACTATGATAATTTGGGTAGGATAATTTCTTTTGACTTGCCTTTATGTTTCCTGGTTCTATCCTCAGCTCTGTTGATGAGCCTATTGAATTGATTAATTCATCTTTTATGTGTTTTACATTTCTGGTATTTCTATTTTATTCTTTTTTATAGATCTCAACTCTATGCCAAAATTTCTCACCAGATCTTGCATGTTGGCTACCTTGGCCATTAGGTCCTTTAAGATATTAATCATAGTAATTGTAAATTCCCTCTTTCATGATTCCAACATTTGTCTCATATGTGAATCTAGTTCTGTTTACTGCTTTGTCTCTTGGTAGTGTATTGCTTTTCTTGCTTGTTTATATGCCTCATAATTTTTTGTTGAAAGTTACTGAAAGTGTGTCTTCCTGAGTAGGAGAGTGGCAATAGTATCTATGTCTGGAAATAGACTGGCTTTTCTGTTAAGTCTTTTTTTTCTTTTTCTTTTTTGTGAAGGAACATTAGAGGTGCTTGAATGAAGCAGGAAAACTAAGTTTTCTGTATGTATGAAAACACATCAAAAGCTCTATGAGTTTCAGGATATTCAAATTTATTTATCTTATACTGTCTTCTTGTTACTGAATGTTATTTATAGCACTTTTTGAGTGCTCTTATTCTATATGTTGCATTCTCTGATTTGTACTTTCTAAAACAAACATTTGGATTATGAACAGAACTTATCTCTCCATTTTACAAATTTCAAAACTTAAGTAAAATTACTCACCTAAGGATACATATTTATCAAATAATAGAAACAGGTCTTAATTCTCAAGACCTATCCCATTTTATACCCTGTATTCTTAACTGTTACCCTATTTAAATCCATTATGTTACTTAACAACAAAAAAATTATTGTGTATCAGTTATATTGAGCTATAGAAGGATGACATGAACAATATGGCTTGACTTTTTTTTTTTTGCATTTCAAAATGCCGATATTCCAAGACTAGACTTCAAAGATTACCCGAATTCACTAAGCAATTAGAATGTAAGAAATACAGAACAATATATTTTACTTATAAATGATACTCAGTTGGCTACTTTTAGAGAAAACTTTCTGATTATTGTCTAGAATTCACAACCACTGTAAAATGACCCAACCTTTCTCAGGGGTAGAGCCATTATTGGATTAGCTCCCAGGCTATTATGTATTCAGAGCTGATAAGTGTCACAGTCCAAAAGACACTGGATAATGATAAGTTGGACTGTGGAGCACAGTATGGTAATAGAATTAGAAATATGGACTTCATAATGGATGCGATAAAGAAACTGAAACGTAACAACAGGGTAAGAGAGAAGAAAGTACATTCTCTCCAAGCTTTAGTGTATACCTAGAGAGGATAAAAGAAGAGAAATCACTATACAAGAACGAGGTGATTAGTGTGTTAGGAGAATCAGAGTAATCTGTTTAGTAGAACTTTCTGTGCTGATGAAAACGTTCTGTATCTATGCTAGTGGATATGTTGCCATATGTGGCTATTGCACACTTGAAATATGGCTAGTTGAATGAGGAACAAAACTAATTAAAAAAATTTTTAAAATTTTAATTGTTATGACTGATGATAACATTTCAAACAGCATAGGACTAGAGTGTAGTAAAGCTGGAGGAAGAGAGTAAAGAAACGATGGAACGGAAACCATAGCATTAAAATGTAAAACGTGTGTGTGTGTGTGTGTGTGTGTGTGTGTTGTGTATGAATGCTAGGAAGGATGTATGTTTGGAGGGGAGGGAAAATGTGAAGAAAGAAGGGAATATGGTAGTGAAAGGAACCAATATTTATTGAATTCTGTAGTATGGGAAATGGAATTTTATTTTTATAATTAGAACATAACCTGACAGGAAGAGTCATCTGAGTTTTGATGGTCAGGCCACGTGTGCAAGGAGAAGTTAACTTGCTCTTAGTTAACTAGCTAATAAGTGATGAGATATTCAAATACATTGTTCAAAGCCCATGCTTATTCTACTGTTCTACTCTGCCTCTAAGGGGGGAACAAAGAAGAAGAGATGAAAGAGTCTTCTTAGTTGATAGATTAGGAAAAGGACAAAAGTGACAATTTTCTGAATTCTTTAAGGTGAATGCTCATCTATCTTATCTTTCATCTTTTAAACTATGGATTGTTTTAAGCTGTCATGGCAATATATGAAGTTTTTGCAGGTTCATTTATGTGTTTTTTAAATTTATTTTAATTATTTTTGCTGATCCTTGTGCATGGTGCTTTATTTCTTTGTGTCTTTGGTTATCTTTGATTATAAAAACATACTTTTTGCAAATAATTTGAGGTCCAAGAATAAGATAACCTTCCTCCAGAAAGAATTTGCTTTTGCTTTTTCCTGGTGACTATTTAGAATACCAGTCTTGAGTCACTTTGCATTAAGTTTAAATTAAGCTGGAGAGTTGTGCAATCATTGTGAACCTGTGATGTAATACACTGGTTTTGAGAGTTGCTTTACTTCTGCCAATGATACTTGTGGCAAATTGTCTTCCTTAGTCACATGTCTCTTTGGCTGTATATTTTCCATTTAACTTGATCAAATAATTTGTTAGTCTCTTCTGGTCTTTGGCTTTAAAAGAAATTTTTATTCCCCATATTTTGTTTAACAATTTTAGTTGTTTTTATGGAGAGTATTTGGTATACTATTAGACCAACTGTTATTAGAAATTGGTTCACTACTACTAGAAACAGGAATTTCATTTTGCTTTCAGTTTCATGGAAGGATGCTTTGCTCATGATTTTCACATGTTTTGGAGCATAATCTTGCTGTTTTTAAATCTTTTTTTTCCTTTTTTCTTTACATATTTTGTGCATAAAATAATTTTTGTAGGTAGTTCCCAAGTTGCAAAAATTGTTATTGTCATTCTTATTTTTATTTGTGGTGTTCTTTTATAAGCTTGGCTAATAGGCAGCATGAATGTTGGATTGTCTCCAGATACTCTTCTCACCAACATTCTTCTGTTGGTAATCACTCCCTTCTTGACTAGGCAGAGCTTTCCTGAAACCCTGTATGTTATAGATTATTTGTTCTACCTCTCATACTTTTATTCCTATTCTTATTTTCAGAGTGGATGGGGGCATAGACATCTTTTTTTCTGTTAACTTTAATTTTGTTTCTTAGACGAACTTTATCTGTTTATAGCATGGCTACCACAAAATTGAGGTCTTAAAATTTGGTTATCTGGCAGTTTATAACCTCTTGTTTTCTAATTTCCATATGTTTTTCTTTTGATACCATTGTTATTTCTCTCCCTGCCTTAAAGTCTGTTGATTTTTCTAGAAATTAGTGTCATTTTTCTAGTGACCTTCCATTTATTTATATATTTAATGAGATTTGAATTAGTTGATCTTAAATCTCTGTCTCCAATTAGTGATTTCTATGTAATTTATAATTCTAACACACATTTTATATTTATTGGTTCAAAAATAAGTAGGGACAACAAGGAGGAACTATACTTATTTTACTTTTAAATCTTGTATTAAAAGATACTGATCCACAAAATATCTCAGAATATAACTGTTTATAGCAGTCTTACTTATAATTGCCAGAAATTAGAAGCATCCAAGATGCTCTTCAATAGGTGAATGGAAAGACTTTCATACAGTGGTATATTATGAAGCAGTAAAAAGAAATGAGCTATCAAGTTATAAGAAGACCGAAAGGAACCTGAAATGCAAATTGCTAAGTGAATGAAGTCAATCCTAAAAAGCTGCCTACTTTATGATTTCAGCTATATGACATATGAAAAAGCAAAATTATGGACAGTAAAAAAATCAGAGAGAAAAAATCAGAGAAAGGAGAGATGAGTAGGTGCAGCACAGGTGATTTATAGGGCATAAAACTAGTCTGTTCCTGTAATTGTGAACATTTGATAAACTGACTTGTCAAAACCTATAGACCTGTACAACATAATGGCTGAACCTTATGTCAACTATGGACTTTAGCTAGTAATAATCTATGAATAGTGATTTATCAGTTGTAGCAAATGTACCACACCAATGAAAGATGTTTAAAATAGGGAAAACTATGTGGAGGGATGGGGTGGAGAAGGCAGGAGAGTATATGAGAACTCTGTACTTTCCTTTCTATTCTTCAGTAAACCTAAAACCTATTCTAAAATGTAAAGTCTGTTAAATTCTACAAACATATGTTAATGCCTGATAAAGGATTCATAGATATTGACTATACAAAATAATCTAACAGCCGTATGTATTCTGCAATAATGTAACATAACCTCTTGTGAATACGTGTATTTTTTATTGTTAGTTATTTGGTACTTACTCTGTCTTTTTAAAGCATATCTGTAGTCATTCTTCTTCCTGTCTTTTTTTTCCCTTTATTTTTGGCCTTTTTAAATAGGTGTTTTAGCCCTATCTTGGTACCCTCCTGATTCAAGTGATGAGAATGGGCAACCGACTGATGACTTGGTACCTGCTATTTTGGAGAAAGCTCATAAATATAATCTGAAGGTATTTTATTTTCAAACTATACATAAGTTATTTCTTTTGGACAAGAGGATAGGAATAGCAGTTTTTGGAGTGGTCATTTTAATTAAAAATGGTGTGAAAATAGTGACTTAGAATCTTTAAAAATAATACTATGTTTCATAGAGAAAATTTCTTTTAGTTCCTAACCTTGTTTGAATTATATTTTAGAGAGTCCTTACTATTTTTCCAACCATGTTTTAAATTAATTTATTGTTTATTTTAGCAGGAAAGAAAGAGCAATTGAAAGGTTCATTTGTAAAGATAATACAAAAATTAGTGAAGATTTATATGTTTAAATGTCAGATGTCAAAAAATCCATTAAAATTAGTTTGGATAACAATGTGACTTTACATATTAATAAAGTAGTTAAAAAATAAGCCATTCATTGCTCAAAAAATGTAAACTTAATTTAAACTTTATCATGCACGCACACACACTTGTGTACATATAGAATGCAGGTGAACATCTGAAGACAGATGAAAAATCAAACATATTCTACCCAGATATTAACATTTGTTACAGATGAGGTAAAATTTCTCACAGTATGAGATGTTTTGTATTTCTTTCAGAAATTAATGAATCATGGAAGCAAAAAGGATGGATGATTAAAAGGAGTTTAATAACACTACAAAGTTACATTTTATACTGAATTGCAAGAAAATAGGCATCGTTTTTAAAATACAAGGATACTTTTTTCAAAAATTGGTCATATATTAGATGCAAACATTAATTCTAGTAAATTCACAAAAACTATAACCATAGAATCTAGATTCTCTGACCACATTCAATATCACTGAAAGTTAATAACTGAGTCCAAACCATTTAAAAGGTATTAAATTCTTTAAGGTTTTAATTATAACATTATAATTAAGACTATCACTTGCTTTAAAAATAAAAGTCAAAACTGAAATTTAAGTGCTATAAAAATAAATAGCACTGAGTTTATTGCATTAACAATACCAAAAAGACATGGATAATGAGGTTGAAGGAAGAACTAATGAGAATGAAGTAAGAAATGAACTGAATAGAATACAAGACCTTTAAAATCCGTTACCTGGACAAATTAATCTTGTTTTTTCCACTTTTGGGAAGAAAAACAAAATAGGCAAACCGCTGGTGAGACTGAAAAAGAAAAAAATGGAAAGAACATATTGTCAAAAATTAAAAAGGTGGTTACATCCCTTTTACTTGATTGTGTTGTGAGAATGGAAAACAATTTAAAAGGAAATATACTTGTAGGTATAGGAGAGAGTTTAAGACTTTATATTGTCATATTTAAAATGTATAAGAAATAGTATTTTTCTAGGAAAATACAAAAAAAGTTGATTATTTTTTGATACAGAAAGATTTTCAAAATCTGAATTTAATAATTATTCTAGAAAAAATATAAAAGGTAATAAGCTGTCTTCCCTATAATAACACCAGGTTTTCCTGTCATGTCAGTTCTTTTCAACCAGTTGATTCTTATGATATTGAAATATAATGTAAAGTATACTCATTATTTGTTGCTGCAGAACAAATTTCAGCTTCAAACAACAAACATTTGTTATCTCACACAGTTGCTAAGGATCAGAAATCTGGAAGTGGCTGAGCTGGAAAGGTTGAAGTAAAATATCTGGAGGAGAGAGAGGGAGGGAGAGAGAGAGAGACTGAGAGAGACTGAGAGACTAATATAGAGACTGCAGGAGGTTTTAAAAATAATCTTGGCCATGACACCTGATCACTTCTGCTGTTGTTTTATGTACTGATAAACCAACCTTACCACAATGTGGGAGGGACTGTAAAGTTGTGAATACCAGGAGATGGGAATCATTGGGAGCCATTTGGGTTACTGGCAACCACAGAAAACTTAAAAATTTGTCCTATAATGACAGCACAATTTCTATTTAAAACTAAGAGTAGCACAAAAAGGAGACTTATAGGCTGATCTCACTAATGAAAATAGATGCGAAGGTCCTAAGGAAAACTTAGATAAGAAATGTATGTTTGCAAGGATCTAAGAATGATCTCAGGAGTATGAAATCTGAACCTAAATTGCCCACATTCAATCCTGGATCAGCCACCTTCTAGCTTTGAATGTGACTGTTGTTTCTCTTTCTTTATCTCTAGAGTGAAAATAGTAACAAAGTGCTTAGAAAGATTCCATGAGGAATGTAAAACACTTAGATTAGTGTCTGGTACAGAGTAAGAATCAAATAAACAAAATTTCATTAATTATTTAAAGGAGATAAAGCATGATCATCTTAATGGACCCTGAAAAATTGAGGAAATAAAAGCTCATTGCTAATAAAACTCTTGATAACTAGAGTCCTTTAACTTGATAAAGGGTGTCTTGACATAACTTATATGAAATACCATACCTGATGGGGAACAGAAATATCATGCTAATTGATTCAATCAAGATCAGTACAAAAATATAGTATTTAGTGTTGTTACGGAGATTGTAAACAAAGAAGGTTGATTAAAACAATGCAAAAGTTTCATAATAAAATAATTATTTTTTGCAAATGGCAAATACCTGAAAAACCTATGAAAATAATGTAAAATATTATACAGGCTCAGCCTGTAATCCCAGCTCTTTGGGAGGCCGAGGCGAGTGGATTGCTGAGCGTTAGGGTTCGAGACCCGCCCGGGCAACTTGGTGAGACCTCATCTCTACAATAAATCAAAAACCAGCCGTGCGTGGTGGCTCGTGACTGTAGTTCCAGCTACTTGGAAGGCTGAGGCAGAAGGATCGCTGGAGCCCAGCAGGTCGTTGCTGCGGTGGCTGTGAGTGTGCCACTGCACTCTAGTCTGAGGGACAGAGTGAGACTCCCACTCAAAAACAATAAACAAAAAAACTATTAGAAATATTAATAATGTGTTCAGTAAGAGGACTGGAACAAAAAATATATTCAATTCAGTAGGGTTCCTATTTTAGAGAATAAAATGGGACAAGTTACCTGGGAAATAACATCTTTATATTATATATTTAAAGAAATATATATTTACAAATGTAAAGAAATATATATATAAAGAACTCTTTGCCTTATTATCAAAGAATATGAAAGACCAGCAAAATAAACAAGAATTTGATGGGAAGATTCAAAATTGCAGAAATAACCACTCTCTCAAACATTTGTATTTCTTTTATTTTTATTTTGTATTATTCTTTTTTTATTATAAAGATGTGGGGTACAATTCAGGGTTAGGTATACAGGTGTTGATTTTTCAGGTACCCTTGTTGGAGAGGTATGCTTCTCCCTGCCCCAGCAGTTTCCATCCCAGCTAATAATTCCAATGAGATTTTTAAATACAGAATTTGACAGACCAATCCCAAAATTTATAAATATGTTGGAATAAAGTAAGACTTAAAATGTTTTTAATGAAGGGAAGACTTGTCTTCCAGATAACAACATGTACTATAAAGTAGTGGAAATTAAAATATAGAGTATAATAACTTTAGGCTCAGTATGGGAAAAAAAAGAGGTTATATAACATAATATATAGTTCAGGAACACTTAATATGGGAATCCAATATGTAATTCAATATTCATTTAAAATCACGTGTAAAAGGAATGTTTATTTATGATCTTGTCCTCATGATACTTGTTTAGGTGTTTTTTTAATTGTATATCCTGTCTGTTCTGTCTTTGGTCATTTATATTTCATATTTAACAACCCTTACTCATTCTCTGATTGTTCATGTTTGTTAGTATTTATTCTTCTTGTCAATACAATGTATTTGCAAATCTTAATGAAAATGTGAATTAGAGTGTCTTTTAACTAGGGACCATTACCCTGACTTCTCAGATGGCTACCACTTTTAAAAATTGCTGAAGAAGCTTTTTATTTGCCCTGTAATTCCTTGCAGTTTATATACGCTCATGGAGAACAATCTGGATTGTCCAATACTGGTCATTGAGCTCCATAAGAGATGATCTAGACCACTGTTGAAATCTTTCAAATAAAAATATGAAAAATTAGTTTTGTCTTAATTTTCCTCTTTCGCCTACAGATTCAGTAGTTATTGGAGAATAGAAATGGAACTCTAGGGAGAGAGAAAGTACTAAATAGGCGAGCATTTTTTTTTTTTTTTTCTTTTATTCCTGGCCATTAAGCTGCCTCCTCATTCTGCTTTATAATCCTGAAACTGTTAAGACAGCATCTCTCAAATGAGCTGACTGGTAAGAGCTGTCACCTACCGTGTCCCTCAGTGCCATTCAGGGAATTCTTATTGGCATTTAAAATCTGCAAATAGGCAAGGCTCCAGGTTCTGCCACCCAATCTGGGACTGGATAAGTGATTGATTTATCTTCTGCAAAATAAGTCCAAGGGCTGCTCTTCTGTCCAGACTCTGCTGTAATCTTGGGAGATACAAGCTCCAGAAACTGACTTTTTAGTCTTTTACCTTTTTTAAAGGTAAAGTGAAAATGTTCTGATGCTTGAGGATAGGTTGGTCTTTCTCCTGTTTAAAGTTTCTGTGTAAAAGGAAAGCATAGGAAAGAGTTCAACCACTAATTGTCTGTGTAAATGTTGCAAGCATACTTGATCTCTCTCTGCTTCAGATTTTATATCTAATGAGCAGAACAATTGGAACGTGACTAATATTTTTGAAAAATTTTTAAACTTATTGACCTTGAGACTGGGGAGGAAGCTGGGGAGGAACTATCTATAGTACAAAGAATAGACCTGGAACCATGAGACTGGAGCTTGTTCCCACTGGGTAGCTCTGGAATCTTGTATTAGTTCTTTGATTTTCTTGGCTTATCCCTCACATTTGTAAAATGACAGAATGAAGCCACAAGGTAATTTTGTTCATTGGGTTTTTCTGTGATTTCTGTCATATTTTTGTGGAACAGATTTTTTAAAATAATTTAAATGTAACAAATTCAATTTTTTGAACAATGGAAAATATTCTTTTTTCTTGCTAATATAAGGAAGGGTTAATGTGTTTAATTAATGACAACACCTTACTAGAATTAAAGTGCTAAGGCAGTAAG